TATATATATATATTAATCTGAGTGTTTTTATAATGGAGCCACTTATTTATAAATTGATATTAGTTGAAGAGTTGTGTCACAGTTTTCTCAGGAGAATTAATTATACTTATTCGCTGTGAAAGCTTCAGGTCATAAACCCCTGAGATAATGTTATGAGTAGTTTCACTGTTTACGAACATGTCTTATTAATTAAAATCTAACAGTCATTTATAATGTTCTATTTAACAGGACGATTAAGAACTACATTTAATCACGAAGAACTTTGAGGTACTGAGATGTCAAACAAGTTTTTTAATATCAGATGAAGATATTTTTATCCAATGGGGCCTCTAATCGGGGGCATTTTTGTAGGAAGGATCCTTCAAATTATTTTTGTACTGACCGTACGCGAACTTCATGTGAATAGTTTACTACGAAATGACAAGTGTTCCGTATAAGGTAGTTTAGGAATAGTGTTACTTTATTTTGTTTAGTGTACTGTAGTTTAGTTCAATTCACATTGATTTGTTTATGTCACAATGAGTTTTTAAACGCAATTTTTAATTATATGTACAACCTATTTTAATATTCAGTAACTTCCCATTTTGGCCACAGTGTGTATTTAAGAGTTTTATATATTTATCAAGAATAAAGACCAATAATTTACAAGACAGAATTACATAATTTATAATTCTAATCCCGGAATTAATTTCCGATGATCTCAGGTGTTGAGACTGAAAACCTACAGCGTCTTTTGGTGGGGTGATTAATGAATAATTAATATTGAGCTCGAAAGGACATGGAAGGAATTTAAGTCATACTATATTTATCTGGAATAAATAAGGCCTGAATCCATGGACTGAACTTAGCTTGTTCAATTTTATCAGTCTAATCACAATAAAATATTATTATTAAATATTAAAATATTACAATTAACATTTAAATATTTAAAATATATTAAAATGATGCTCTCTATCGAATGTTCGATTTTAATATTTTTTAAATATTTAAATGTTAATTGTAATATTTTAATATTTAATAATAATATTTTATTGTGATTAGACTGATAAAATTGAACAAGTATATATTCAACACAATATGACGCAACATTATCATCTCATGAATTTAAGTCACTATACTGCATTTAACTTGTAGTGACTGAGGAAAATTATGAAATAACCTTATGATAGTCGCTCCCCAGATCGTGATTTGAACCTACGACATCCCGAATACAAAACAGGCTGCTTTGGGAAGTTATGATGCATCGCCCTGAAATTACGTAGTTAATAGAATAATTTTGTTTCCGATGTAGAGTTAGAATCATCAAAGTAATTTAGTAGGCTAGTAATCGAAACGAGCGTGAATTATGTTGTTATTCTGGGTTTTCATCTCGTGTAGACTCATTGGTAGATGCTAACGTTTCGGATAAACATATTACATCCATCTTCATGGCCGTAAACACTGAGATGGTATGTTTCTCCGAAACGCTGGCCATCTGCCGGTGAGCCTACAAGGCTCCAAAATCCAGAACAGTATTGCTATCCCACCGACGTAAACTCAGGTCTTAAAAATTAATGAAGGAATTTATAAGATAGTATAATTGCGTCATATTGTGAATCAAATATTAAATTAATTATTCGGTTTTTGTCCTTCTAATCACAATTATATTTAAAATTTACAAATAAGATAATTAAAATATTATTTTATGTTCCACATCGAATAATCGATTTACATTTGGAACATTTTTACAACATGTTTCGGTTTCATCGAACCATCTTCAGGTGTAAAATTATATCAACAAACTTAAAACTCAATTACAATTTCTGTTGTGTAGCTTTTTTGGTGATATTTTCTGGTGATGTTCATATCCAGATTATTTTCATATATTGGAGC